TTAAAATTTAAATATTTTGATAATGAAATGGATAAGTTAAAAATAGCACTGAATATGGAAAATAAGAGGTGTCTAAATTAAGATTATTATGATTGTAATTATTGTGAAATATTGTATAGATTGCGTTCTAAGTACTCATTAACTGCACCATATAGTGAAGCAAAGGAATATTTTTTTACAGCAGCCCCAAAATAGTTAATTTATTGCCATCAAGTATGAAAGGTATATATTTTGAGAACACAACATATGACAGTAAATGTAATTCTGCATCAAGTATATTGTTAGAATCACTTTTGAAAAACGGATCCCACATAGTAGGCATATTGATATGTGTATCAAATAGCATTAGGAAATTGAAGTTGAATGGCTTTAGTGATTTTGGTGAGCAATGTCACACAATAGTGAGCCCTATTTTTATGAATCAGCACACTTGTATCCTAATGATAATTTTGATAGCCAATTAGATATTCCAATTGCAATCCCTGTTGATACACATGGCACTTGTTATGTAGCAGAGATTGTTGATGTATCAAGTATTGATAGAATAGAAGAATGTAATGATGATAGTGACTCTGAAGATGATAGTCTTGATGACAACAATAGAATGTATACCAATAAGAGAAACCCTACCCTCAAATGGCACTGTACAAGCAGGTGCAAGCCTTTATTAAAAAGTGACATTAGTTCTATTATTGAGACGATATTTTGATGAACCCATTAAAGAATTGAGGAAGCATTTAGTTGCATGCGATTAATGTCCTGATGATCATTATGACAAGATCCCTGCATGTTGAAAAAATTGATCAAGTGTATGAACATGATAACTGTGATAATACAAATGTAATGGTAATGGTTAAAAAAGTTGAAAATAGTGTTGAAAAATATTAAAAATATTCAGAAAATGTTTTTGAAAGGATATGCCATCCTATTGTGTGTAGTTGTAATGATAATGGCTGTAAAAGTATGCTGTGTATTTTACACAATGCATCTGTACATTATCATTTGCTGAGACGCCTTTTAAAACACTTATGTTGCTAGAAATGCCCATTTAACAATAGATAATATTGATTCTTTCCTTGCTGATGGCGTTATAGCACAATTGATGAATTTAAAAATTAATGGAGCAGATAAGACTGAATTTGATGTCTATCATGCTATTAACGATGGTGAAGAAGATGACCCATTTAGATTACCAAATTTAGATACTGTACTTTATTTTCAGTACTCAGATGCTATTAATGAATTAAAGAAAGCTTTGTCTGATCAAGCAGTTAATGCATGTTGTAGTTGTGACAGGCTTTAAAAAAAAAGTCTGTCACTGAAGCTAAAAATTTAGTAGGTTACATTAGAGAGACTGATCCTACAGCATTAAATAAAGTTATGTATATTTGTAATCATTGTGAACCTATTAATAGGAAAATTGAAGTTCCAGCACCTTGTGTACTCAATGGGTTAAAGTGTGAGCCACTACCCAAAGAATGGGAAAATTTGGATCCTTTGAGTTGCCAGTTAATGCAGAGAGCCAAATGATTTCAGACAAGTGTTAGGCTAAGCACACACACCTTAAAAGTGCCTACATATAACTCTTTGAAGGCTCTTAAAGGTGCAATGTTTCATTTACCCCTTCCATTAGAAAAAACCATGGAAATTTTAAATAAGATTGGTATAGATTCTAATGATTTGCCTAATCCAGAACTTTATATTATTATTCATAGACAGCCTACTATATCAAATACTGTCTGGCATAGAATAGTTGATGTAAATAAAATATAAGCAGCACTAAGAAAACTAATAGAAATAAATTGGGCATATAGAAACTAAGACGATGATTCAATTGACAAATCGTCTAAAAATGTTATACAAGTAGTTAGCAATAGTACATAATGCTTCATAAAGCAAATGATTAAGATTTAGAAGGTCTTTCCGCATATACCATTAGAAATCTTGATAGTAAAATTGCAACAGTTTCTGATAATAGTGAATAGAAACTAATGAATGTAAAAGAAGCGCCTATAGAGAATAGGCAAGAGCATCTTGATTTATGCTTTCCTACTTTATTTCAAACTGGGCAATATGGTGAGCATCTTCCCAGACAAAGCTATCGAGCGCTGACTTTATCATATAGTGAATACATAAAATCAAGAACTTACAACAAAGATTCCCAATTTTGTAGAAATCATTCATATTGTTTGCTCTATTATGGTTCATAAATTAACAAGGCCTTTAAAACTGGTATATATAATTTATTAAGAATATCAAGGGGCAAGGGTCAAACTGTTGACAAAAAATAAATGTGTTACATGAAGAATTTTAAGGCAATTTAAGTACAATGTTGGCTCCAATATTGGGCACAAATCATATTGATTCCGCATAAAAGCTGTAGTCAAAGCAATGATTGCTGAGTATGGCTCATCAACACTTTGACTAACATTAAGTTGTGCTGAATATGATTTAGCTAATATAGCGTAATATTTAAAAAAAGTAAATAATGCTCCACAACCATAGTGTATTTCTAGATTATGCACTGAGGACCCTGTTTCTGTATCACGACAATTTTCTGACAAGTTTAAGAAATTTATTAATATAGTCATTCTCCAGAGAGGTGTTCTAGGCAAAGTAGAGCAATATTATGTTAAGAAAGAATATCAAATGTGTGGAGTGCGTCATTATGATATCCTCTTATGGATTGAAAATGCTCCCATTGTTGGCATCAATCATCCAGAAGAAGTCTGTTCTTTCATACAAGATAGAATTACCTGTCATATACCAGACAGAAATACGTCGCCTGATTTAAAGTTTTTGGTAACAAAATACCAAATGCACAAGTGCAGCAAGTACTGCAAACGAAACATTAGAATCGGAAAGACCTATATATCTAGATGAAGATATGATTTTCTTAGACCAGTACAAAATAGTATTTGCATCAGTGATTTTGAAAATAGCTTGAAATCATGCAATAAATTATATTATCTTAAATGAAATGAAATGAAAAAGAACTTTGAGTCAATGACTGCAATCTTTTACTGTTGAAATTTTAGCATGCAAATATGGACTTGCAATACATAGCACAGTGGAGTCTTTCCTTATCGGAGTATGTAACTGGATACGTCACTAAAGCAGGAAAGAGTCATGCACAGGATTTATGCGATGAAGTAAGCAGCTGTGACAACATACACAGCAGGCTTTGGAAAATTGGACAAAAGTGACTTCGAGCTAAAGAAGTAGGACTATATGAAGCCAGTGATCTTCTTCTCGGTGAAAGTTTATACATGAAATCAGTAACTGTACAGTACGTTAATGTGTACTTGCCTCATAAAAGGAGCAAAAAATAAAAAAACTATTTATATTTAACGAAAGAGGATCGATCTGCTAAGAAAATTTTTAGTCCTAGCATAATTATAGACTTTTATCCAAGAAGACTAAATAACATGGAAAATCAATCTCTTTACCAATCTGTTGCTAATTACAAATTTGATATAATAGGAGAAAATGGACAAACAGAATACAAACTTCGATCAAAGCCAGTCCTTCCAAACAATAGGACATTTAGTCCTATGCAAAAAGCGGAAGAGACGATTTTTATTACTCGCTATTATTTTTATTTGTGCCTTTTAGAGATGAGAGCACACTCGTAATTGAAGGAAGAACAATGGAACAAGGATTTAGGCGTCACAAAGAAGCATCTATACGTGGCATTTAAAATTATTTCAGTAAACTACAGAAATTATTAGAAGCTGAACGTGATTGCAAGTAAATAGTCATGGAAGAAATAAAGCTGGTTTTACTGAAAAACTTCCTGATAACAAGAAGGTAATGAGCCTTAATTACTGGGTGAAATAATGGAAGCAGTAGCTGATATTGCTGACATGCATATAAATGTACCTACTTTAACATTAGAGAAAAGAGAGGCAATGCTTAATGTAAAATTTTTGATAAAATGAAGACTCATCATATATGTGAAAAAGAACATAAAGACTTATTAGAGAATGAGTTTTTAAGACTACATAGATTATTTCAGCTACCAATACAGCATGAGGGTAAGACAGCTGGATATTGGGCTTTCATTAAAGAAGCTCAGAAAAAGATAAGAATGACAATTACAAATTTGACGAATTTTAATAGTAGAAGTGGTATCTAAGGTATCCAATCTAAATTTAGCATACTTACACATGTGCTTGGAAGATGTATGTGGAACTGATAAATGGTTTGGATCCAAA